ATATTGGAGGGATCAGCTTTGGAAATGTATTACATGAATGGGACCAGGTGTTACTGTAATGCACAGGTGTCAAACTCAGGCCCGGTTGCCACATAATTTTATGTAGCACGCAAAAGCAAATATTGTGCATCATCTTCCAAGATCCTTGCTAAAATCTACCATTTAAAAAAGTAGTAGTTTAGTGCGATTTCTTTGGACTTTCCAGTTGAGTAAAACAATTTTTGTCCACAGCTGTAGAGATGAACCAGACTGTGTGACTCTAAATCTAACATTTACAAACATTCACAACTACTTTATAATTACAGTACACCTAATAAAAACAGCCATTCCAAGAGGGGATTACACTGCTTGATGTTTGGGCCATAATAACAACAACCATAATAACGATAATTATAATTTTCCCTGCTGTGGATGTCCACACAATGATTGTCCAGGCTGATCAGTACAATATGGCTAAAGATGACCCCCGAGGCTACGTCACATCTTACCGGTTAACTTAATCTCATACTGAAGTATAACAGTTAGGAAGTGACTGTTGGTGCAGGGGGTCCTTTATTAATAATGGAGTTCCATTCCCATGCCGTTGACCTAACCTGAATTTCTTTGCAAATTGGGTCATGAGCCTTACTTAACGCAGTAATTAAGCGATTATTATACTAAATATTTGCATGAAAAACACTTGGAAGCTGTAAGCTTAAAACAGTCCAATGAAAAACAGTAAGTATGGTGGTAACTGAGCAAGGGCATTCTTCTGCCGCATGACCAGGTCCACCTTGCTGCGCAAATCAGTTCATTTCATACCGTTTGTAACCTCGAAAGATTGTGTGGGTACCATTGCAAACCAAGGACAGGATGTACGATTTTTGGTTGCCTTTTTATATACAAAAGGGACAACATATGGGAAATGGTTCTCAGTACTACATCATCCCATTGTCCTGATATCAACCAAGGCTGTCGTGTTGACACAATTTTCAAAATGCAGTTAATGTGTACAGTATGCATGTGTGTTAGCAGTATCCTGACAAAAGTCCTTTACTGCTTTCCACAAATATTTGCGGGCAGGAGGGACATGACTCAGACCTCTACCAAGGCCAAACAAACACTGAGGAACAAAAGCACCTTTCTATACTGAGAGAATACTGTAGATGGAAAAATAGCTGACAGTTTAAAGTTTGAGGGCATTTATAGAGTACAATACATGTGACGTTTGAGGTTGTTTTTTTTTTATTATTATTATTTTTTTTTTAAAGGTATACCTGTACAGGGCTTAGGCGTTAGCGGGGAGAGAGACCATAATGTAGAACATCACACAGCCACGAGCTGTAGGCTCATCTACTTACAGTAAGCAGTGGATGAGGTGGCAGCAGCCAGGTCAGCAGACTGGTCCGAGCCGGTGGCCAATTTAGTTCCCAATAGGTCAATCTTGGTGCTGCGGCAGGTGTTGGAGCAGACCTTTGCGTGATGATAGAATTCCAGCTCGCCGGAATCCATGATCTTCCTGAGGAATAAAATCTTGTGGTTACACGTCATCTTTATATCCTTAACATGCTTCACCTTCAATAACAGTTGTTACTAATAAACAGGCAAAATGTCAATGCAACACAGTACCGTTTAATTGAGGCCCAAGGTGTCCATAATTTGATAATACATCACCAGAATAAATTGGTTATGCTTCTTACCCCATTGTTTCCACTAGGTGGAACTTCACTCTATAGTACTTCGACTGGAACGACTTTACTAAGTTGAACCGTAAGTTCAATGGGTGCAAAATATGTCAACATTTTTTTTCAACTTTTTTTTTCTGTTTATACCTGAGCATGGTACCGTTGAGTCGGATGGCTCTTTTCCAGTCCTTCAGTGTGGACTTGCCTGCAAGGCAGACAAACTCCTTGGGGCTGATGAGTTGATCATTAAACTGGAGGAAACAACACATAAGCATGAGGTGTAAATTATAGTTTTGTAGATCAAGTCCATCCAGTGCATTTAAGAATCATTATCATTTGGCTAAGATGTACCTGGACACATTTCACATTAATCCCGGGGCAAACAAACTTCTTCCACACCAATGTGGCTGTGGCATCTCCGCACGTGATGGGGTACAACACATCAGCCTCCATGTCCACCTCCTCCGTTAGCTTCACTGCATACACAGAGACAGGGTCAAACTCATAAAGCCAAGACTCAATAAAATACAGCATAACTTGGCAGCATTATTTTTCTAAATCACGTATCATATTCACCGACAGCCAATAAAGAACTGATTGTGATGTTGATTCCAGTTTGTCAACAATAAAATAAGCTAGTAGCGTGTGTTAAAAAAAGTTACAGTGCCACAGGGGTTTGTGCTTGGAACAACTTAATTCACTCTACAGTATTTGCTTACTTTGGACAATATGATAAAAAGCTATTCACATTTTTGTTGTTGTAAAGATGGCACAAAACTTTTTGAATAAATGAAATAACACCAAAATGTAACCGTATGGCCAGTGAAATGTCTAATAATTGTTATATTTTGCTGTACAAGTGACAAACATTCACGAGAAATGTATAATTTTAACATCCCTTAATGTGACGCAAGACCAGATCGGTTAACCACTGATTAATAAACTATAAGTAAAATGACCCCCTCTTCCCCTCTTTGTACATGCCTGACATGTAACAGCGAGGGGAAACGAAGGTATTTGCAAAGCAATACTGTCACTTAGTGGAGTTCATACCATTTGCTGGGCAATCAATTGGGTACTGTTGACTTTTATTTACATTAATATCCCATCGCGAAAATTGGTTGGTATATTTATTGTGAGTTGTAAATCCATCCACTTTGTATTTATTTGTCCTCCTCAAGGTTGCGAGTGGGATAGACCAGAGATCAACCCTGCTGACCTTGGGTGAGAGAGGTTGGATACACCTGAACTGGCTGAGAGCCAATCCCAGGCCACATGTAGGCAAACAACAATTCACACTCACATTAACAACTATGGACAATTTAGAGTCCCAATCAACCTAATACCAGGTGGGAAAATGCATACAAGCACACGAAGAACATGCATAGTCCACAAAGGAAGGCCAAAGCTGAGATTTTAAGCCCCAAAACTCAGAAATGTGACTCAGACATGCTAACCACTCGACGACTATATCACCCTGATAGTAGTTGTATGGCTTATGGCTTACTATGGGCTCAGACCCTTTCCTGTGTTGGATCAAGTTCCATTCTAAATTGTGTTGGTTGGAATCCCATTTTTTCTCTTTCATTACAGTGACCATTCTGAGGTGGCATCACCAGGAAAAAAAAGTTAGTCTAATTTTGATACTCAATGAGTTGAAATCTAACAAGATCTGAGTAAAACTTTTGTTCCACTTTTGAGCCAGATTTGACCAATACATTTGCGGGTTGAACATCATTATGAAAATAGAACATGTTCTCTAATATGAAATGGTATAGCAGCTCTCGTACATAATATTGAACAGATAATGCAAGTCACTTTACCAATGACTGCTTCCTCATTGGACAAGGAATCTGTTTTACTCGAATCATCGTTTTCCACATGAGTGACTGTGAGAACCTGCTCCCTGCAAAGAAAACCAAAATGAAACACAAAAGGCGTAACAGGCTGTAGCATTGCTGGTGATCGTTTTTCACAGTTTCGTACAAACCCTGGCTGATGGCTGAGCTGTGCGGCCACCAGCACCGCTTTATCTTCCTCCGCCACAGACGTGTCATCGGACACTGTCACAATTACGACCTCACTCATTTCTGGCATTTTCACGTCAGCTGAGGCCATGATGCACAACTGAAGGAAGGAAAACAGGATGAATAAAGAAAGACATAGATAGAGTGAAAAGCACAGCTAATACTATGGTTACGTGCTGTTTCACAAACAAATAAACAGAATGGCTAAGAGGTGAAGAGCCGCTAAACTTACCTCCTTTATTACTACAAAATTGTTATTTTAACAAAATCTTACCTTGTGTATCACTGATGTTAGCCAGTTAGCGGATACCTAGCAGAGCTAATGCTAACTCAATGGCAGCTCTGGGTCGCTATAAACTTTACTGTTTATTTAGTTATGGTGGAAAAACCACACGTAGGCGCATGAGCTGGCGTTCATCCAAAAAGATAAAGTCACTAAATACTTTGAGTGTACTTGAAATACAAATTTCCATCTTCCTGCGACTTCCTAAATCTACATTTCCAGTGCGCAGCTGATGCTTCTTCTTCTCGACGTAAATTGTGATTCAAAACCTAACATTATTTTTGACTGACGCCACATACTGTCGAGTTGTTGTATTGAAATTATTAACGTGTTGCATTTACTTGGTGAAAAAATGCTTGATTGGCCAGGGGATTAGGTTCTATTTTTCAGGGGGGCAGTTTTTTGGCTATTTTTTCTGTCATTGGAAAACATATTCCGAAAAAAAGGGAAAAATACTCTCCAAAACAGAAAAAATTGTTATTCTGGAAAGCAGAAATTAAATACAGTATTCCCCAAAAAACAAGGCACTTTTTAAATGGAAAAAAAACATATTCCAAAAACAGGAAATAAATTATTCTGAAAAACAGAAATCCAATCCGAAAAAATAGTGCGTGTGCGTGTGTGTGTGTGTGTGTGCGCGCGCGTGTGCGCGTGTGCGTGCGTGTGCGTGTGTGTGTGCGTGTGCATGTGCATGTGCGTGTGCGTGTGTGTATATTTTTCCAAGCGAATGCAGTCCGCTTCCACACAAAAACCAATGGATGGCGCAGATTCACTAATGTCGTTAAACCACGAAGAAGACAGTAAGGTAAGCAAGCCTTGACCAGTGAATGTCAACAAATATCTGGACACGCGTCAGCTTGCGAGTGTTGTTGTTATGCCCGAGTAGCAAGAGTGAAGTGAATTACATGAAGCTGCTCCGTCTTACTTGCAGTTTACCATGACTACCTCTGTCTGGTCGGATAAAATACTCCAGGTCCTCCAGCGAATGAATAACTTTTATTTGCCAGGTAAATGCTGACGTCATGTTACGGTAATTTGGCCGGAACGCGATTCACTCACTTAAGTGATGTTCGCAGGGTCTGGTCGTGCGAATTGTCTTCGTTTTGAGGTTAACGGAATCAAAGTTGGTTGGATTGCGCCGCACGTAACCGCGCTGTTGGCGCGCTACGGAGATGTGTTTCAGCCACCGCTTGGGGGCGCTCTGTCACTGTGCGACAATCTGGATGGACTCTTATGCCAAAAGGTCCGAGGCAGTGGCCGATGTTCTGTCGAACCTTAGACGTGATCCGTCACTGCGCTGTCTCAAAGGTTGGCGAGATGAGGTGAGACACGTTGCTGCAGTATTGCGCCATCACTGCAATCATAATTAATACAAATATCGGTTCAATTAAATTATTCTCAATGGTCTATTCTCTTTCTTTCGTATCATTTGGCTGCTTGCTTCCGGTACAGTGGTATCTTGACAAAGAATGACCGACGGAATGAAAGGGAAAGTGACAATGGAACACACTGATACAAAAGTTGATTGTAAAGTGTCCTTGAGTGTTTTGAAAGGCGCTTATAAATGAAATGTATTATTATTATTATAAAAGTAAAACACTCGCAAGGAGAATGGAGAAGATGCTCACGCTGAAATATTGGCATTAGTGATGGGAATTCCGGCTCTTTTTAGAGAGCCGGTTCTTTTGGCTCGGCTCACTAAAAAGAGCCGGCTCTTTCGGCTCCCAAATGGCTCCTCAGTTTTTTGTTGCTTAAATTAGTTTACTCCCAAAAATAATGTAAAATTATGTGTAAAATGAATTACGAATGTAAAAACTATACAGTATATCAAATATTTATTATTTATATGGCTTTATATTCTTCTGAACATACTCAACATGGCGTACAACATGGAGTGCTACAAAAAAATAAATTACAAAGTACAAAAACAAAGACCCATCTCAAAACAAGGTCAACAAAAAGTTCCAATCTCTGATTGTGCATATTTATAAGTGTTTAAATATTTACAGTAAAACAACATAAGTAAGCTTTGATTACCACACAACAAATTATCAATTAAAATTTGATATTGGATATTTTAACCTTGCACAGTCTACACGCTGCCTTTGAACTATCAATTCAGTTGAAATCAGTCCAAATTTCATTGCGTTGCCTATCCATTTTCTCACCTTTCCACTTTCCACCGTGTAGTTTTTTTCTCTGTACTGTCGCGCTATCGAGCTCTCTCTCGTCTCCCTGTCTCTCCTGTTCG